TTTTTTTTTTTTTTTTTTGGGATCGAAGTTTACAAAAGAGAAAGGATTGAAGACATGAGAATGCGATTTGATTTCATCGATTAATTTTTGGCGATTTTGCTAAATGTTACGGTGACAATACAGGAATTAGCCTGGCTTCCTGTTTGGCTTCAGCAATCCAGTGAGCTCGTTGAGGAAGCTCCAATCGCAGATAAAGAACCGATTGAGGTTAGCTTTATGTCAAAATCATGCAAATCTTAAATTGCAGAAAATTTTTGAACAGAATTTTGGGGGGAATTGTTTTTTTTTTTTTTTTTTTTTTTTGAAGAATGATTTCTGATAAATCTTGTTGATTACAATGGATAGGGATTGGCATCTTTAAGAGTGAATATTAGTCAGGAAGGAGATCTGGACCGCTTGTCCAGGGAAGAAGGCGGATATAACAGTTGTCATTTATTTTTATCTGGAGAAGACTCTTCACGGATTAGTTCTGCTTCTTCTCCTGGTGATGTGAGTTTTCTATCAAGCTTCTCTTGTTTGTTTCATGCTTGATACGTTTTGCTTGCATTGGCTTGAAAATAAGTGTAGATAGCAAGCTGTAGGAAAATTGTTTTTGGATTGAGTCCTGGAAGCTGATCAAATTAATGTCTTTTGATGTTAGGTTCTTCATCTTCGTTTATATTTGTCCTCTGATAGTGAGTCGCAAAATCGCCAAAGTCAACTTTCTTGTGCATTTCGTGGTCAGTGTGACTCTGATAAAGTATTGCCAGTACCAGAAGTTGAATTTTCAGCTGCGACTGGAGAAAAGGAAGACCAAACAAAAACAAAAAATGATGCTGTTCGAGCAGATGTCTTGCCTCCGACTTCCATCCCTGATGCAATGGAGAAATTTGGCCCGGAAAACCTCACAGACAATGGGGATTGCAGGGAGCTGTCTGAAGAAAAACTCAATGTGAAAAACTTTGAAGATAGTGATAGTAGTGATGCAGTTGAACTCTCTGTTGCTGCATCTGAAGCGCTTGTCATACATGAATTAGTGAACAGTAGATCAGAAGCTTTGGGAACAGAAGCTGTACTTGAAGCAGCCCTTCAGGTGAAGCAAGCACGGTTGGAGAGCTTAGAGGGTGTCTCCAGTTGTCCAACTGAGGAAACTGACGAGATTGATTTTCTTTCAGACTTGGATGATTTGACCATGATGGATGCATTTGAAGATGTAGGTTTATCTTTTAGTAGCTTCAGCAATCAACATGCGTGTGGTTCAGATATTTGTCTAGTAAAAGATTCTCCTATGTCAAAAAATTGTGATGGGTGTGACAATAGACAGAAACACGTATCCCTTTTGCCTCAAGAAAATGAGCATTCCAATGATCTAGCTTCTTGTTTAAAAACCCCCACTCTCGCTAGTCATCACTTGCAGTCAGAAAAGGAGATTTCACATGTTTCAGATACTGTACAGGTAAATGGACTACCAACCTTCAGTTCATTTCACAATGCTAACATCAAAAGAGAAGTTAAAAAACAATTCTGTTTGTAAGTCGAATTCATTGACAATGGAATTTTTGGCCCAGTGGATAACCATAATTGGTTCCTACAATCTAGCATCTTAAATTTTGGAAGAAAAATTCTGTTTCCCTTTCAGAGAGTTGGTACTCCCATTATGGAGACTTCAGTTCAACCTCAAGTTAATATGGACTCTTGTGATGCCAGGACTCTGCAAAATGCCAGTGAGATTATCTTTTCGTTTTTCCTCTTAACATCTTTCCTGCTGTTTCAAAGACCAATGATTGTACTCATCCCTACACTTTTTTTTATATTGCAGAAGAAGATAAAGTAACTCATTTGACCGCAGATGGATTTAGAAGTCGATGGTTTGACGGTTGGACAGGGAAGGTTCGTGCATTTTGATTGCTTTTTGAATCTCCTGATAACCACCTTTTTGATATGCCATCTTTTTGGAACTAGGAAGTTTCGTGTTCTATGAGAGAGGAACTCCTGAATGCCACTCAATTTGCTTGTTACCCCTGTTTTTCAATATACAATCACAATAATATCTTGCTAGCTGCTTCTAAAGACATATGCCCTAAAGCCTGGAATTCAATTAGGATAATAACCACCATATTTTGCTAGGTATCAAGACATTGACAAATTATTTGTTAAAATTCTCCCACAAAATTCTAATTTAAGCTTATGCAATTTATGATGGAATGTCAAGTTTCAGTTGCTGTTTAGCTTTTTGTTGGTGCCAAGCTGAACTAGAGAGATTGAATATTTTTCAAATCTTTTTTGTCTCCAAAGCATCATATCTAGAGCTGTGGTTGCTCACTCACTACTGATTTGCTTAACAAAAATGCCGAATGCTTTCTACTCTTTTGTAAACCACTAATATCTTGGCTATTATGCCTCTTTAAGTTTTGGAGTTTATGTTAACGTGGTTGCTGCACTGCTCTCATTAGCGATAATGGATGCTCCTGTACAGCCTAGATGGAAAAGTATACCAAAGTGTTTTGCTGTTGAGACCAGCTTCCTCTCTGAATCTGCTGATGTTGCACCTGATGAAAACTCTTTTGTGCACAAACATGAAAGCAGACCACAGATAGCTGCAGACGAGAGCGTACAGTTTGAAGGTTTACATGACCAAGCTGAAGGAGGCTTTTCGGTTTCTCAAGATGTGAAATCTACTAATGTGTCCTTGGTAGATCCTCTTTGTTCTGTTGTTCCTTGCAGTATTTCTTCAGAGTATGCCGGTTCTCCTCTGGTTCAGGACCCGAATTGTAGAGAAGCTAATGCTCAAAACTGCTTCAGTCTCACAGATGATCTTGGGGTGGGGAACTTTTTGAGGACCTCAGAACTAAATGTTGAATCTGTATATGAGAAAGGGCAAACTTTATCTCCAATTACTGGCGAACGTTCTGCAGCTACAGTTCGGAGACAGTTGAATTCTCTTAAAACATATAGCACACTGCCGCTTAAGTATGATTCTTTACGTGAGAATGGAAGGCCTTCTCATGATCAATCAACCCCATTAAACTTGGAACATAACTTGTGCAGTGCTATATTTTCTGATAAAAGGGATTTTGAAAGGCCCTTGCCTGTCAGATCTACAATAGAATATATCCATAGAGATGCTGAAGAAGTTCAAAATGCTAGAGTTCTGGAGAATTCAGTTTTGCTGGTGACAAATGACAAGAAGAGTAGCAATGAACGTGCAAAATATGGGGTTGAGTTTCAGGTTAAGCCTTTAAAGGGAACAAGGTCACCTCTAATTTTAAACCAACGGATTCACCAACGCTTGCGGACTTCCAGGCTTTTGGTTCATGGTTCTCTTATTAAGAAAAATCCTGTACGGGCTTCAAGGAAGAATCCCTCAAATAAGCTTCATTATAGCAGAATCCTTGAGGAGACACAATCTGAAGGTAAAAATCGTGATGGTTCACAAGTTTCATCTAGAAAACGGGTTCATTTTTCAGAAGCTGAAGGCGTGCTTCAACAAACCAACGACCATAAGAAGCTAAAATCTTTGCACAAAAGATGTAAGAATCCTATTGATTGTCTAACACACCATTTCTGTGACCCCTCTAGATGTCCTTGACATGTGTTCTGCCATTTAAATTTGCAGGCTCCGCTACAAGAGTTAGTAAAAGATTTGAATCAGACTCTTCAATACAAGACATGAAAAGGTGTTTCCCAGTCAGAGCTAAGGACGTGAAGAAATTGATATTTCAGGATGTAGAATTCCTGCTTACCGGATTTTCAAGCATTAAGGAAAAGGAAATTGAAGGGCTTATACGAAACTATGGAGGTGTTGTTCTCGCAGATATTCCCTCTCCTTCAAATTCAAGGGGAAAGAGAAATTCAATGTCCAAGTTCCAGCAGCTTCCTGTTGTTTTATGTTCAAAGAAGGTTGGTATTAGAAACAGAAGAAAGAACCATTAACAGATTTGACAAGTTGTTTTTGGGGCCAAACCATCTATGTCAATCTTTAGTTTTACTTGTCTCTCTGCTATCATTATGCATTTTTTCTCAATGAACTTTGTGCTACATCATTGCTAGGCAACATTTTTTTTTTTTTTGGCAATTAGGCACGTTGTTTCATAGATGTGACAATTTTTTTCACCTGACCCAGCTACAAACCACCAAATTCTTGTTTGGGTGTGCCATAAATGCACCCATACTAAAAATTAAGTGGCTCACTGATTCGATTGCGGCAGGGAAGTAAGTTTTGTTGCATCTTATTTCTTTTACAGACAGCTCCATGTTTATTTCTTTCCCGAGATTTATTTTTAAATTTGAAATTTGAAATTTTTTTCCAGATATATTGTTCTGTCAAGTCGGCCATTACCTATGTTTCTAAGAATTGGCAAGCCAGTTCGTGTCAATAACCATGCTTGTATATTTGACAGTGTAGGAATAATGCTTCATGGGAAGCATAGTTTCTGCACCAAGTTCGCTGCAATAATCCAGGTAAAGGGGTATTTTCCAATACAGTAGTACTCCAACTCTCCTCTTGTTTTTGAAGTCAAATGTGGCCTTAAACTGTATATTTTCATTTGGGGTTGCAAAGCATGGAGGTGGGCGAGTATTCAAGACCCTGCAGTGGTTAGTCCAGAGTCTTGATTCCGAAAAGATATCTTTGGGAGTTATTGTTGCTGAGGATGAAAGTAGGGCATCACGGCACTTGAGGCACTGTGCCTCTGAAAGGAAGATTCCTGTGATGGTCCGTAATTACTTTCTATCCTCCATTTCTCCCCTGAAATTTCTCCAATTTATGTGCATGTTTTTTCTATCTGTTTGGTATGGTAGAGCTGACACACATTGGATTAAATAATGATATTAAGATCTAAGGGAGCAAAACCTCCCTTTCTTGCTGAAAAAGATGTTCAAGTTAGCTGGTTCTCTCTATAATTTTCAGTTTTACATTTTCATGACTGAAGCTTATTGTTACTGGCAGCCAACTAGCTGGATTGTAAAGAGCTTACATTCAGGGAAGCTTCTTCCTCTGACAGTAAACAACCATGCTCCTTCTCGCTCCATTATGGCTCCTGAATTCCCCTTGTCCATGGATTGGAGTCAAGAAATTTGAACTTTGCATCTCTCCCCAAACCATACAAGGTAATTGTGTAAATATGCTATTTCTTAAATTAGAAAAACATACACCTAGTTCATAGGAAGCATGAAAAGGTAATGTACCTATAAAATAGACAAGTTCACAAAATCTAATTAAGCAGTAGTTTAATGGGAGACAGTGAAGAAGTTTGAGAAAGACGTTGTTACATCAGCACAAATGGTTATTTACCAAAATTTTATTGCAGATCCAAAGGGTATATCTTCAGTTATTAATAAGAAGATTATGTGGAGGTTCTTTTTGGTTTAGAGGCAAGTGAGGAAACACTGTATGCCATCGTGCTCATTATTTTGAACATCAAGCCTGATCCACTCAGCTTCTGTTGCAGGATCTTATTGAAACGTACCACTTGTGGAGGGCTAAGATGGTTGATCAAATCACCCACCTGACCTTTCCTGAAGAAGGATGTAATTTATTTGTCCAGAATGAGATCTTCACAATTTTATTCACTTCCAGATTCTTCAAATTTCTCAAGCTACAAAACTCGACTGCTTCTTCAACAGCTTCTCCTTTCTCTTCCTTCTCTGTAAAAGGAAACCCCATAAACCCTACATAAACCCTATCTCCGAGCCTCTGTCTGAAATATAGGTTCTTCTCTCATGTCCTCGTATTTGAGAAACATCACTTTTTGAGGCTTCTCCACGCTTTCATGTCCTCGCCTCTTCTGAACATCTCAAAGCATTCCTCTAATGGACAATCGTCAATCCTCTCTCTCTTGTTCCTACTAGAGAATTGTCACATAGAGGCAATCACATTCCAATGGGTTGTGACTGGTGCACGGTCCAGCGGTTAGAATACTGCTTCACTGATTCCTGCTAAGGATGGATTCCGAAAGGAAGGTGGGTGCAGAACAGCCTTGGAGATGGAATACTTGAAAGATCAAGAATTTGACCTTCATTGTATAACGTGAGCAAGGCACAAGGTTCATGGAGGTTTGATATGTTCAGAAGGCCGTTAGATATAGCGTAAAACGAGTACGGATGTTAATAGTGAAGGCAAGAACTTTTAGCCATGCGATGCCTACCATGATATCATCCTCCTGTGATTAGAAGGGTAACATATTGGGAATAAGTCTGGATCAGCCGCAAAAGCCTTGAAATAACTAGAAAGAACGAGTAGAAGCTGTTTGGTAGTTCTGGTAGTCATCTTCTTCAGCAAGAGGAAACTCCGGCGTAAAGAGTGATCTAGGATCGTTCGCGGGCGCGTAAACAGCTATGCAGCAGGGACCAGGCCAAGCGTCGGTGAATTTGGGCTCCTATCTCCTGGTAACAATCAGGTATTGGGTCCAATATGATTTAGTTGGATTTTAAAACCCAACGTTTCACCTAAATAGGCTTTTGAAAAAATTCTCATAACTGGCCTGCAAGGCCTTTTTTTTTTCTTTTTTTTCTTTTTTCTTTTTAGTATCTATAGTCAATGGTTCTATATATACAGGGCCTATTGAATTGCGGGGACCAAAAAAAATCGGCTTCTGAAATCTAGATTAACACTCGGCATAAAAATGCCACACTAAGGAGTACATGGGGTATAGGAAGGACTACATGGGCTATAGGGCGGACAATTTATTCTTCAGATTGTTTTGATATAATTCATCAAAAAAAGAAAAAAGGAAAAAAATGAGTTTATTTGAAACAAATAAGGTTTCACTTAGGAAATACTACACAATTTGTTTTTCTTGAGAGCACCTTATTTAAAAATGTATTTTTTATAAAAATTAATTTTAATTAAGATTTTATATATTATAGATAAATTTAATTAATATTTTATATATTTTTGAGAAAAAAAAAACTTACAATTACAACAAAAAAATTAAACTCTTGATCAAGTTTAATGATACGTTTGGTTTGAGAAAATATGAGAAGAGAGAGAAAAAAAATCTTTTATTTTTTATTTTATTTTTATTTTTATTTTTTGAATAGTGTGAAATCTTTTTTCTTGGAGAAGAAGGAATGGAGGACTTGGGATTTGATCCCAAGTCCTTGTAGTCCTACGCATGGCCCTTGTAAGTGGGTGGTCAAATGGCCACCACCGAGTGCGGGACAAAAAATATATATATATATATATCTTTTATTTGGTTAAAAAGGAAAAATTGAAAGAAAGAGGAATCATTTATATTATTTTTTGATGAAACACAACATCACATTTTGCTAAAAATTAAAGCACATTGAATTTGAATGCTAGGCCAGACCCACCCAACTTTTCCTCCAAAACCCTCGATAATTCCTCCACCATTTCCGGTGACAAATAATTCATCCAATCCCCAACCTCCCCTTTCCTAAACAGATTCCTGTTCTCCCAATTCATTATAGATTTCCCATTCTTGTTCACTTCCACATCCTTCATCTTCTCAAAGCTACACAGCCTGGCTATCTCTTCCACCACCCCTGCTCTCTCCTCCTCTGCCGAGAATGGCAACCCCAGAAATTTGGCTAACCTCTTCAAGTTGGAGATGATATCCTTCTTCACATCCTCGTAGGTCAAGATCAGGACCTTGCTCGGTTTCCTCTGGCTCTCCCTCCAGTAGCCCAGCATGTGCTCCCAGAATGGACCAAACCCGACAATTCCCTTGCAGTACATTTCAAAAGCTTCCTCCAGAGATAGCTGAGCTTGCGATTCTGGTTTTACCTTGTGGAATAATTTCATAAAGAAAACGAAATCATCATCAACTGTTTTTTTTT